TGGCCCCAATCGTTGAAGGGAAAACCATAGAGTTTTCCCTCCAACGATTGGGGCCACGCCCCCAACGTGATTGACGTGGTTGCGTCACCTCTGGTGATGCAGCCACGCTGCGCTTCAGGGGGGGGGAATCGGGCCTCCGAAGCAGGGTTTTACCCGCCACCCGCCCCCACTTGGCAGCCCTAAGTTTTATCCAAGTGTTCTGACAGTACTGTGATTCTTTCTCCTCTCAGCTGCTTTACAGTAACTATTCCAGAATGTTTATGTTTCAGTTTTCAACTATATATAATCATTTTAGCTTAACACACAATCAGTTTTATCCCTATGATGCATACTCTTCTTAAAGAAAAAAATGCCAAAATAGATAACGAATCAGACCTGTAAATAATCCTTTTCTACTAGCCAAGAGATCACTGAAGTGCATTTAACTGTATTTACCTAGAATCACATGTCTTGAATGTAACAATGAAATGAATCCTACAATGAAAGATATTTCAGGGAAGTGCTTGGTTTGAATCTTGCTTCTGCCAGGAATTTAGTAGGGACAAAATTATACTCAATGCTGGAGTTGCATGACTGAACACCAGATGTATTATTAGGCCATAAAAAGCAGTTGCTGGGTAGAAATATGGATCAGAGCTGCAGGTAGCTCTCCCATCCCCTGCTGGAAGCTTTAGGTGCCAGTAGGGAATGGGCAGATACAATAAGGGTACCTGTGTTTTTTTCCCCTTCCTTAAGAGGGCTTATAGTATGTTTTTTGGGGGGGCATGGGGGGATTAGTTCCCACTTGCTTGACACTACAGCCCCAATATATATGAAGCCCCCTGATGCATTTTAGAGCACCCAGTCATGGAATTTCAGCATCATGCATAACTTAACCCCAAACAGCCTTAGGTAAGCCATCCTCTCATAGCCTTGGGACTTTACCTGCAATACAGGGAAACTTTAAGTATAACTCAGTAACGTATGTGAAGTGCTTTGAATATTCAAAAGCACTACACAAAGGAAGTATTATTAATATAATAAATTTCAATTGTTTTGTTCAAGTTCCTCTATTCTTTTTTTTTAATATGCCACTGTTATGGCTTAAAGAACACTAAACTTTTCCCAAGAATAACCTTGATATGTTCCCTGGCATCAATATATAATTAAGTGTTCTCAGACTGTATTTTTAAATTGGATTTCCAGAAAACCTGGTTACTAGCTTTAACCCTGAGAAACAGGTGGGAGCCTGACACACTTTTTTTTGATATGCCCATGGGCTGTGTGTTTCTCTCGCACTTACCCCACCACCACACATATTCACAAGAACACCTCTCCCAGATCATAGTAGTGTAACAATTATTCCACTCTGAATTCAGAACAAACTTCATACTTTCATGTTCAGTCTCCAGCGGATCACCATTCATCTTCTGTGAGTCATTTTTACCTTTACACGTTTCAGTGTCATCTAGTAGTCCCTTAACAAAAATAAAAATTTGAACATGGAGAACTAACTAGCTAAAAACTTTAGTCACTTCTCCCAGGAAACTGGACATGTATGACTTTGTGATTCAGCTGTGCAAGAGTCACTTCTCCCAGGGAAGTGAACGTGGATGAGTTTGTGATTCAGCTGTGCAAGCTACATTTTTCTAGAAGTACGTCTTATTATTGTTTATGAAAAAGCTACTAATAGAGAGACTGGCTGAGTACCTAAATGGAGGAATCAGGGCTCGGTGTCTCGAGTACTGGTAGAGGCAGAGGGAAGTAGCGAACGTTTTTATGATGAGGGACTGCAGAGAGTGGCATCTGCTTTTAAGTTTAGGCAGCTGAGCTTGAATGCATGTATTTCTCAAACAAGTACCTTTTCACCTCCATATAAATGTACTGACACATACACAGGTAAATCTCTACAAGAAATAGAGCTTGATACAAAGTTCTTCCTTTGTCACAACCTGCTATGCATAGGCTAGACAAGCATTGTTTACTGCAGACTTTTTAAATCAGTAAAGCTCTTGCAATGTAAGAACTAGATGGAGTAGCTACACTGATATTTCCCAGTAAAGAAGTGGAAAATAACCTGCCCGTCCTCTGATCCTCAAGATCTTCTTAAAACATGAAATTCGTTACCTTTCAAAGTTTCCAGTAAGTTTTTGGCCACAAACCAACAGATGGCTTCAAAGAAAGGGAATTTGAAAAGATCTGGGGTTTTTAGCCTTTTCTCCATTTCATAACACCTAAATAAACAATTTAGAAGGATTATTTTATGCAAATATTTGGTATGTTAAAAGTGTTCACCCAAATTATGACCGGAAGCAAAATGAAGCAGACCACAAAAAACAAGATACATTTAGACTCAAGACAAGAGTAGTATGACCAAAATTTGACAAAGTTGAACTAAACTCTGACAAAGTCTGGCCTTACTAGACTCAACCCTTGAAAACAGTGCTATGAAGCTGGACCTTATAAAGGTAATACATAAACCCAGCTTTACATGGACAGAGCATTAGCAGTTTTTGCTGTAAGGATATATTTTAAAAAACCCAACATTAATACTAGATTTAATTTAAAGGGTTGGTTTTTTTACTTCAAATCCATTATCAGGCTTGACAAATTTCATTTTCTTTTGAGGTTATCTCCCACACAATTGTGCTTAATTCCAAAGGCGAATAGATCAGAACAAAGCATTTGTTTCAGCTGTAGATCATTCTTGTAGGAGCCCATCAGTCACCAGCAAAAATATAAAAGCCTCACTTTATCTCATTTAAAACTATGAGATCAACCGAATAGCAGAAATGTTCAAACTTGTAGGCAAGTTACAGAATTAAGAGAAAGTTCCAAGACCAACCTGAGCTGCATGCCAATATTGAGGTTGTGCAAAAAATTTCCTCCAAAAGCCATACAGTCCTGAGATGTGAGCACAGCATGAATCCAGCCTGAAATGACAAGAGGAACCTGAGTAGCTCCACGTCTTTTCATTAGAAAGTAATCTGCACAACCATCATTATATTTTGTGTTTTAATGATTCACAGGCCAAGATAATCACTCTACAGAACTGACATACTAATACAATGTGTTTTACTGGTGCACAAAGACATCCCCACACTACTAACTTGTCTCTCGTTGTGGCAGTCAGACACACACACACAAAGAAAATGTGCTTGGAAAGTGGAAACACGAGACTCCTAATGCTGTTCCTCAAGAGCTTTCTCAAACCTCAGTTCACCAGTGAGATATCAAAACAGTCAAAGTATTATTTTTGCCTAACTCCGTCCTGTAATCAGGAACAGTCTAATTCACTGAATATTACTATATTATTTTTACTACTCCTACTGAAATGACCTTAGAATTTAGTGTTCTTTTTTTTAAATCTGCTCATTGAGCTTGATTAATTCCTTGCACTGTGCTTAAAAAGTGCCCATAGGAGCAATTATTAGGTGACACATACAAAATAATATTCAACCTATGAGACCCAATTAAACTATAGAGCGGAGACAGATTCATAAACTCAAGCTTTCTAACAAAAAGGCAGAAATGGTTGGATGAATGCTGCTTACTGTGATTTTCCCTATGAAGCTTTGGGTTCCATTATGTCCTTTTAACTCAAGTCTAGACTTTTATACACACTGCACAAAGCTCTTTCCTAAAGAATGTGCTTTCCTACTTCCTAAGAGGACAGTGTGCCACTCTTTACCAGTGCACTGGGATATATACTGGCTCCAAACAGCTTTCCAGGCACATTTCAAACTATAAAGTCCTTCAGTAATTTGATCCTACATAGTATAAAGGCACATTTGGCCACAATAGCCTCTTGGTACTGTATGACAAAAATGACAAGGGATCATATAGTCAAATCTACAGAAGCCAGAATACCACACATAAATGTTAATAGTTCCTTTATTATTTAAATATTAGCGCTTACAAACACAGTTGGTTGTATTCTGACTCTTGGTAGTGTATGCCATTTTCAAAGTAAGTTTGAACAGTGGAAGACACAACGAAGTATTCCATAATAACCAGCCCACAGTAGTAAATTTCTTCCCAATATATTTGTTAAGTCCTAAGTGAGCACATAGGGTGTGTTTTTTTAATTTGGTGTCCGAGGTTATATAGGGCCAAAAATTATGTATGTTTTACTGTTGCACTGAGAGAAATACACATACACACGTAGCACACAGTAATTCCCTTTATATATATTTTCTTGCACATATTAGTGTAACATGTAATAGAGCCAGGGCCAAAGTAAATACAATGGCAGGAGATCCATGACTGTCTCTCCAGGGATTTTTTAAAAAAACCCAATATCAACTGTGGGGATAGGGGGTTAACCTCTTGCTCCCTGTGCTGTTTTCCCAATGCAAATGTCTTCCCTCCTGCTGCTATGTGCCCAACAAGGAAACATATAAATGTACTGCATGATGAGGACCCTCACTGCCATGGCTGCTAGATGTACTCTGAGAACCATGGGAGCTCCAGGCATGGATTTCTCACTATCTCATGTGTCAGCCTAAAACTAAGGTTGGAATCACACCTTAAGAGCGGAGGGGAACAGAGAGAAACAGATTATGTGTGCAAATGATTTTACTAAACATAAGAAGAGCCTGTTGGATCAGACCAAAGGTCCATCTAGTCCAGCATACTGTTTCACGCAGCAGCCAAGCAACTGCCCTGGAGGGCCAAACAAACAGGACATAGAGGACGAGGCCCTCCCCTTTTGCTGCCTCTCAGCACTGGTTATTCAGAGGTTTGCTGCCTCTGTAGATGAAGGCTCCCTCCAGTCACCACGGCTAGTAGCCACTGATAGACCTCTCCCTCCATAAATCTGTCTAGTCCCCTTTCAAAGCTATGCTTGTGGCCATCAGTATCTCACCTGGCACTGAATGCCACAATTTAATTACTTGCTGAATAAAGAAGGTATTCCTTATGTCTGTTTGTAACCTATTTCCTAACAATTTAATTGGATGCCCCCAAGATCTAGTATTTTGGAAAAGGGAGAAAATGTTCTCTCTATTTTCCACCCCTTGCATAAACCTCTGGCATGTCTCCCCTTAGCCATCATTTTCTAGACAAAAAAGTCCCAGGTTCTCCAACCCTTCCTGATAGAAAAGGTGCCCCCAACCCCCTAATCATCTAATTTGCCCGCCTTTGTACTTTTTCCAACTCTGCAATATCCTTTTCGAGATATGGTGACCAGAACTGCACACAGTATTCCAAATGATACAGCACCACAGCCATATAGAAGGGCATTACAATACTGGCCATTTTATTTTCATTCCCATCTCTAATAATTCCTAACATGGAGTTAGCCTTTTTCACTGCTGCACACTGGGTTGACATTTTCTTAGTGCTTTCCACTACAACTCCAAGATCTCTCTCAGTCAGTTTAAACTTCATCAGCATATGCTTTGAAATAAGAATTTTTTAATTCCAATACACAACCCCTTATAACTACTGACAGTGAACTTCATTTGATATTTTGTTGCCTAGTCACCCAATTCAGAGAGATCCTCCTATAGCTCTTCACCATCCTAAATAATTGAATATTGTCTACAAACTTGGCTACAGCACTTCTCACCCCCCAAACTTTCCTCACATTCCCATTTTCATTTCTTCCTTTTTTCCTATATGAATAAAGTATTAAAAGCCACAATCCTTCTTATAAATTGCTCTATAAAATAGTTGAATCTATTAATACAATTTTTTTAAAAATAAAAAACTATTTTTTTCAAGATTTCTAAACACAAGCCAATAACAAATTCAGTACATCAATGTTCATACGGGAAATTGTTTTACCTGTGGGAACAAACAAAGTATGCCCTTGCTTCACAACACATTTGTAACACTTGTCAACTTTATCTCCGAAATAAACTTCGCTCTGAGTGACAGATGAACTCCATGCTTCGTAGATTGCCAAATTTTCATTAGTAGGTTTGATTAAGTAGAAGATTTTCTCACCCTGTACATAAAAATAATCACATGAGGTGCTGCGTATCTTTGTGCCCATCAGCTCTTAATGTCAAACACCCTATGATGATAGTAGCATATAACACTACTGCTATAAAACTGTTGCGATTCAGGTGTGCCATCCAGAAGGCGCAGCAAAACAGTCATAACAGCCTGTCACTGGTTAATATAAAGTTATACCCTCACCCCCAATTTCAGATGGCAAAATCTCTTCAATAGGGTTGCCAGAACCCCTGCTTTTGCAGGGTCTTGCCCGCCCCCAACTGACCTTTTCAGGACTACTTCCGGTTTCAGGCCTACTTTTGGTTGGGGGTGACACTGTGGTTTGGGGGCAAAACTCTATGGTTTGAAGCTGAATTTACCACAGAGTTTTGCCCAAAAATCAGAGTGTCACCCCCAACTGGAAGCAGACCCAAAACCGGAAGTAGGCCCAGAAATGCCCAACATCACTTCCGTTCTTCTGGAAGGATGTCGGGAGACCTCCACTGACCTGGTAAGTCAACCTGGCAACCCTACTTCTCACGGTCTCTCGTTATAATCAATTATAACAGGTTCTCTTTTTGCTATTTAAACCAGTCAATTGAATCGTATCTCTCTTCCACTGAAATGTACAATCCCACACTGAAACCTGCCTTGACCAATTCTTGTTTGATATAAGTAAATTTAAAAACATTTTTTTTAAAAAAAAAACTTGAGGTTGTATACAAACTTTTAAATAATGCACATTTAGAAACCAAAGCACTATACATAGTTTGGGGCCAGCAACCCAAATCCCTAGATCTGCTTCCAAAACAATTAATAATTTGACTTTCAACCAACCACTGAACTGCTTTGCAGCAGCTGACCCTTTACTTTCCACTACAACTCAATTTTTTAAAACAACTGATTTTATAACATTGTGTTGTGTGCACAGCAGGTTGAAAATGTCACTTCATGAGAAGCAAACAGGGCAATCACACAACCACCATCTTACTGTAAAGAGGTCATTGGAAACAAGATGTACATTTAAGAGGTCAGCAATATTTTCTTACCCAGAGAACATGATACCAGACAGAAGTGCCCCCAAAATCAATATGAAAGTCTGTGTAGCTATCCTGGACTCCCATCAGGCAATATTTCTGAACAAAAGGCTTGGGAAAAACTGAGTCATCTGGCCAGTAATTTTCCACCCATGAGAGTTTTCTGGCAATTTCAGGAACTTCCACTAATTCTGACATCCTAAAAATGCGAAGAAATGCAAATAAATAATAAGACCATCACCACACAAGGGAAGACATCAAGATGCAGCAAGTCTCTCCATCATAGCAATGTGCTGATCCACATTACTGACTACAGTAGAATAGCTTTATCAGAACTATATTATTTATTTATTTTCAAATAGTATAATATGAATCTTACAACCCTAGCTAAGTGGCATGGTATACCAAGAGTAAACATGGAGTAAAATTAGATTTAAATCAAGCTTCAAATTTGAACTTCATTTATTTTACACTAATTATTTTCATACTAATAAAGGGAAAGGTTTCCCTTGCTCGAAAGCCAGTTGAATCCGACTCTAGGGGGCGGTGCTCATTTCCGTTTCCAAGCCAAAGAGCCAGCGCTGTCCGAAGATTTCTCCATGGTCATGTGGCCGGCATGACTAAACGTCGAAGTGCATGGAACACTGTTACCTTCCCACCGAAATGGTACCTATTTATCTACTTGCAATTTCTTGCTTTTGAACTGCTACGTTGGCAGGAGCTGGGGCCAGAGATGGGAGCTCACTCTGTCATGCAGCACTAGGGCCTCGAACTGCCAACCTAAGACCTTCTGGTTGTCAGCTATGCTGCCATGGCAGCGGGAGGGGTCAGATGACCTGTGTACAAAGTACTGAGGCATTCCTTCTGTGCTTCTTCTCTGCTGTAACGCTTGCTTATCTACAGCCATGCAGGTGGTGCGGTGTCTAGGAGTGAGGGAACCGTGGGAGCGCTGTCAGTTCCCAGCTTTGGCTCAAACGGCCTGGGGCTCCTTCTCCCGCACGCGGGAATGTGGCTAATTGGCCCAAGGAAGGGGGGGGTGCATACGGATACCCTATATCCCATTATGCTTGTAGATGGACGCCATTCTTAACAGTGCCTTTGTTAATGCATCTAAAGCTCTTCAATAAAGTATAACCTTTCTGATAAGCGTTGTTGGCTGTGGAACCTGACACTGGTCTGCAGCTTCAGCATCTTAACCTCTGGGCCACTACTAACACCCCACAAATATGATGGGATCCAGAACAGTATAAGCACAATTTCACTTGTACGATGGGATTTTCCTACTGCTTTTGTCCCACTGCATGCCCCCCCACCGAGGGTTTCCAGACTGAGGCTGGGATATAGCAGGAGACTCACATGCAGGGTGGCCACTGGACCACCACCAATGCACCAGCATTTAGACAAACCGCAATCATGTAAATGCAGGATTTGGGGTGAATGCTAAAGCATCACCTGACGTGATGATGATCATGTCACTTCCAGGTCATGCTGGAAGTGGTGTACTAGTATCAGGATGCCACTGATTCCTGCCCTCCCCATTTCCCCCTCACTGTCCAGCTGAGCAATGGCGAAAAGTCTCCTGCCAAAGCAGGAAGCCTAACAAGCTTGCCCCTGCCCCAGACAAAGCTACTCTTGAGAGTGGGAGATCTCTTTAAAGCGTGGGCTGTGGCTTTAGGGGATGCTGAAGGAAGGAATTCATTAAGCCCCCTCTGATCAAGAGCTTTCTTCTCACTCAATAATTCTTTTGGATCCTAACAACTGCCTTTTCATTACAGCATATGGACTTGTCTCAGTATTTAGAACTTTTTGGAAACAAGGCCTAGAAAAAATTTACAATGTTTTACAATGAAACTGGAAATATTCATGTTGCCTGGCTGGATAGTAGGAGTTAAGCATTCATTAAGAAACAAACAAACTGCAAAACTTTATACAGGATACACAAAACGAGATCACTAAGGTAGGTTTAATGGATTAACTTGCTGAAATATAGGAAAGCGCTTCCTAGTGCTCCATCCCAATGCCTGCAATGAGCTGCCACTCCCTACAACTCTCGCTCAACTACAAAACCTATAATAAAAAATACCTGATCTAACATCTCATTAACACTGGCCTAAAAAAAAATATTTTCCCCCCATGGCAACATTTCTTTCTAGAAATCAGGGTTGCCAACTCTGGCCTGGGAAATTCCTGAAGATTTGGTGGCCATGCCTGTGGAAGAGGAGGAATTTCACCTAGAATCTATGTTATACCATGGATTCTGCCTTCTGAAGCTGCCATTTTCTCCCAGTGATACAGCTTGGAGATCAGCTGTGATTCTGGGAGAAACCCAGACCACACCAGGAGGTTGCCAACCCTACTAGAAAGGGATGTAGAGGTGGTGCGGGAAAATCCTTACTCCAAACAAAACTATTGTAGGGTATTCCAAACAAAATCTTTAAACACTCGTATTAATTAAATTACTTCAATAAATTACTAAATTTGGTTTTCCCTACGAAAATGCCAGTATGCCAGCAACCAAACCAACTTTCCAACTTAATTGTCAAGCAATTATACTGCTTTATTTACTATCTTCTCTATAAAGTGCTTCCTTATTACAGGATTCCCAAACTAGTGTATGAAAACTATATACTCACTTTGTGTCCGAAAATTCGAGGCTGATCACATTTAATACTTTCGGTCTGTCAGGGTTCATAAAATACTTAATATAATTATGGAGCTTCATTTTACTGTCTGCCTGTCTTGCCACATCAATAACATCTATCACTTTATCGCCACCTGTAAAAGTAAAACATATTTATGTTTTCACACATACAAGGAACATCAGTAACTACCAGTGAAAGTCATTCAGGATTTTGGCAAGACTGCTCTAAAACTGCTAGTGTTTACAGGACACTAGAAGATAAAAAAGAATAAGAAACACCATCTACCAGAGAGAGGAAATCTAATAATGTATTCTATTTCTTTCTCATGGTAGAGGAGATTTTAACAGATTTTGTGAGGCTTTAAGGTAATTCTGTAGGTCACCAGAAACCTGAAGATTGTCCCCTACATACCCAAACACAAACTGTTCAGTCTTAATCTCAATTTAGAGCTTCAACTCCAGAGGTAATCAAGATGTATTTATCATAACTTTTACTTCTGGAGTAGTCTCACAAATTCTGATGAGATTACTCTGAGGAAGACATTTAACTCTACAACTTATCTATCCGTAGGACTACAATTGTAATGTGTGAAGAATTCAGTTTAGATATAAAGGCAAAGAATTGTTGGACCAAAAATAATGGATAAACTTACAAGTATGAATCATCCTTCCCAATAATTTTACCCCTGGTACTAAGTGGAACACTATAACCACAGATGACTGTCTACAACAGGGGTGTCAAACTCATTTGTTACGAGGGCTATATCTGACATAAATGAGATCTTGCCGGGCCGGGCCATGTGCTTCATAAAATATAATGCCAGGTAGCATAAACTTTATAAAGGACACAAACACAAAGATTTTTTAACTTAAAATAAGAACATGCTTAAAACATTAGCACTCTTGCAATAGTTTGTTTATTTAACAGTATCTGATAACTGACACCTCTTGCTCTGAATTATTGCTTCAAAATGTCTGTGCTGTTGCAATCTTGAGTATGCTGTTCAAGTGTGTATCTGTGAGCTGCAAATCTACTTTTGATTTATTGACATTCACTACAGAAACCTCATGCTCAGAGTTCTGAGCCTAGGACCCAGGGGGAAACATGAAATGACTTACACTGCGAGCTTTTGTACATAAATTGCTTTTCGTGTTCTGGTTAAGAACATGAGAAGGCACCATGACACAGACTGAGGGCTATGTGTTTGTCTACAAAACTATAGTCTTCCTCAGTGGTCAGTATCAGGCTACTATCTGGGAAGTCTAAGTTCAAAATCCCCAAAAGAAATGTGCTGGGTGAACTTGGTCTGGACACACACACTCAGCCTAATCCACCTCACTGGCTTGTTGTTATTCCTCATTGAAATAGTTCACACTGAGTTTCCTACTGAAATAGTTTCCTACTGAGAAAGATTGGATCATGAGGGCATGAATACAGTTAAAAGGGGGAGGGAACCCTGTTGTGCCCAGGAGAGCCACAACATAACAAGCCCAACAAAACACACACACTGTAGCAAGGCTTAAAGGTACTTTGGTCTTAAAGGTACTTTGTATTTCTCCCATGCAATTGAGGCAGCCAAGCAAAGCAAGCACTCCCTACCTTCCCTCCCTCCTTTGGGGAGGAGCCTTAGCCAATGGAGGGGAAGAAAGGCTTGCCTTTCTCTCCTGCATGACTGAGGCAGCCTGGCCTGGAAACAAGCTTTGGCGGCAGCAGCAGCAGCAGCAGAACTGGAAGAAGCAGGAGACAGCCAGTTCCACTGCGGGCCTGATAGAAGCCCTCTGGGGGATTGATCTGGCCCTCGGGCTGCATGTTTGACATCCCTGGTCTACAAGGACAGCTGTGTGGCAGTGACCAAGAACTGACAAGTTAGCACAGTGCACATCGTATTCACAAAGTAGTTTTAAAGAGGTTATGCCTCCATTAGTGACATCACACATTTTCGTGGGTAGATTCATCTCACACTGAAAAGAACTATAATCTTAAAATGTTTCAGGAGGACTACCAGGTTACTTAGTGAACCTATTTTTATTTGTACTTTCTATCATAACTACAGACCATACCTACGTATCGTTCCACATCCAGAACAGAGAAAGTAGGGGGAGGAAGTCTCAGACCTAAGCCATCTAATTTGGGAACCATAATGGGAACATCAAAACCATGCTTCTCCAGGTATCTTTGTGTTAGCTGGCTGCCATGCATTTTCAAAATGATGTCATCAGCACTAGAACAGAAAACACACTATCATTTAAAAACACACTATCATTTAAAAATTAAACCACAAAATTTAGAACAAGCCTAATAATCCCTGATAAAAAGGAGTGATCCCTAATAAAAAGGAGTGATTGCAACTGTTTTAAATATTCAAATGAGTAAACTTGTACTCACTGAAATCTAAGGTTATTCCCTAGATGACTACAGTATACGTCTAATTAATTTATATTACTTTAAGTATGTTCTCTTAAAATGACTATAACACTGACACAATAATCCCAGTTCTCCGAAACTGGGAACATTTCGTGGCATTAGTGTTTCTCTAGCATTATCAGAAGTCTTATCAGAAAAAAGCCACCCAACAACCTATAGTTCCTCATGAAATAAAGTTTAGAGAATGAATGCAGAGTTGTGGTCTGAAGCAACTTGACAGACCAAAGAGTAAGAGAAGCTCTTTCAGAATAACTGTGAGATAACCTGCCTCCCCATACTGTGCCATCAACCTTGACAAAACCAACATAATCATAGAATGTAATTCAAACTACATGTTCATTACATTTTATCCTTCTTAAAGCCCAGAAAACCTTTGACACTAACAATAAACTCAGTTTCACAGTTAAACAGGCAGAGTGCTTCGTATTGTTTCTGAAATGCTCTTTTGAATTTGATGAGCAGTAACTAGCCATAATTAACTAAACTCCTAAGAACTTTTCTTCCGGTGGCACATCTCTTACCTTGGGAATGAACGAGCTCGAAGCTGTTTTACAAATGTTCGTGTTCCAGCTTGAACTGGTTTGGTACCATCATCAAATTCAGTATATTCATGCCTGTGCCAGTTCCTTCTCTTTTTCACTAGAGGATTAAAATATGAATTAGCTATTAAAATTATCCCATTTGTACCCTGCCCCTCTACCAAGCTACCAAACTATTATAATCTATTGGATTGAGAATGCTCAGGTGTGACTGCCTCAGTGGCAATTTTCTGGAGTGTCTCGGGGGGGGGGGAATACTATAAACCTTCTGTCTGTATTCTGGCGGCGTGCATGTGCACACCTCCCAGATGGGTCCAGGGCAAGCTGGGGAATCCACCTGCAGTCCTCCTTGGAAGCAGAGATGTGACTCATGCTCCTTCACTGCTTGCGGCACTGCTGCCTGGTGCCAATGGCTGCTGAGCAAAGGATTGCCAGCCCTACAGGTGGCAATGCAAGGAGTTTTGGGGGCTTGGGGAGGAGGAGCATTGCAAACGCTATAACATGTGGTGATGACCCAGAAGTGATGTTACAGCAACAACAACTTTGTCTCAGCCTACATTTTTTTTCTCTACTACTCAGTGGAGGCAGGAGTTTGCCCACCATGGGCAGGCAAATGGTAAGACTATTTGGGCCAACACCGGTACATAGAGAGTATGCTTCATTGTACAGGCCATCTTGAAGCTGTGTAGCAGCAGCATAAATGGAAAGGTGAGCACACCTCTCATGCCATGTCCCACAATTTGGGATTGCAAACAGCTGAGCTGGCTCCACCCCATCCTGTACACCCCCCAAAAAAAATTCTGTGCAGAGACTCAATTTGCATGAATCTTGTTTCTGAAACAATGCTTCCTAAAGCTACCACTGAAATTTGTTTTTGCAAATTAGTCAAGTACGTGCTAGCAAAGTATCAGTAATTTAATCTAGACATTCATAACCTACCAAGGAGCAATAAACATGGGCTGTAGACAGTGCCATCAATGGCTCCCAGAACCTTTGGCTGCCAACCAATCTTAGGATCTCCTGGCTATTCTACACACTATGCCATACGATAATTAATTAATTGATTGCTGTCTCCACAGGGCAAAGTGTATACAGGAACTCACCATGTATAGTGGGGCATGTCCTCTATACCACTGCAAATCTTTGGGGAAACAAAAGTAGCAGCAGCAGCACAAACAGCTTGCTGGGTGGAGGCAGCTGCAACAGAGAGCCATTTAAAGCGGCCTCCATGTGGTATGCGTTTTATATATACCCACGTTTAGTGAGTGAGCGTGTGTGCGTCTCTGTGCAGAACGATGCATATCATTCTTTCTATGTGCACACACCTGTTTCTACAAGCTCAATGACCACATTGGAAAGCAGCCAATAGCATCTGACAGTTATTAAGGTAGGCAGCTGCACTACAAAAGATGTGACACAAAGCCTCTGATGTAACTGAACTCCTTTTAAGGACAAATCGGTATGTTTGTTAAAAGGCTAGCATTACCTACAAGTAGTTATACTTTTACAAATTGCATTTTCAAAGGCAGAAATTACTCTGTCCAAAGTGTCCAAAGTGTTCAATATTTATTCTATAAAGGAGCTAGATAGGTTTAACAAGGGAAATATAAAAGAAACAAAGCCCCATTTCAACTATAATACACAGGTGGAAAGGGATACAATAAAGAACTATTTTGTTATTCTGTAAAGACCAATTAGACTGAATGTACCTTCACACCCCACCTTACAGCTGGCACCCAATGAACCTTACCCTCCAGTTTGTATGTGTGAAAGATAATTGTTGCAAATGATATATCAGCCTCTAACTACAACCTCTAATACATAGTCAAGAAAATACATTTGGGATCTATTAAACATTATGATGCAGCAATACCTTAAAAGTAATGTTGTTCAGTGAATTTAATCATTTTAGTGTTAAATATTATTTAAGAATCTAAGAAAATTAAGTTAAAATGCAATTCCAAATGCAATCCCTCTTTAGTATTTGGTAACGGTATGGTGCTTCATATTTTAGATGTGACTAAATTAATTTGAGATTGTATGGGTAATGCCAGGGCACAAATACACATATTAAAGTCAGCCAACAAGATACATAGTATCAGAATACATCAACCCTCATATGTCTCCATGAGAAAAGACAAGAGTAGACTAATTCAAGGACTTACTTAATCTTGCACTAAGGGCTTTTCAGTACTATAATTTCATTCACAAGAGTAGACTAATTCAAGGACTTACTTTTTCAGTACTATAAAATTAGATTGACCTGGTGATCTCCCCCTCTAAGCACACAAAATACTCATAATGATATGCAGAGTGGCCTGCTCTGCTCTATGGCACTGGAAAGGAATCCCTTCCTAGGGTGTTACATTCCTACTACCATGCTAGTCACATAGACACATGCCACAGAAACTGACTTTCGGTGTCCACCTGCCAACTGGATCTGGTATCATACAGTTTGAGTCACAGACTTTAAGGAGACATTTTTGTACATTAAGAAGCAATGATGAATTGTTCTGGGGAACTATGGGCAATGAGGCAAGACCTCAATTTGAATCCTTATCAAGAAAGGTAATGTTATCTCAAGGTTTATAATCCCTATCTGTGGAGAGGAAATAAACTCCAATTCACCAAGATTTAAGGGAAAAGAAACCAAGCAAATTCCTTACGTTTTACACTCTTGGTCTCTGTTTTTAAGAAAGATGAACAAAACGAAGAAGTAACAAAGGCAGTTCACTTGGACAGAGTCCTATCTCACCACAGGCAGAGACCACCTTGGGAATAAGGGGAATACATCTGCTCACTCTACTTAATATAATTGTTCTATCTTTCCAGCCCAGGATTTTGTAATTCAAATATCTTTTCCTTGTTGCACAAATTGACCTTCTGAAAAATAGCTAGTAACATGACAAGCATGGTAGAAGGGGGAACGAAGGAAGGCAGCTGTGCAGGTATTTGCCAGCTGTTTCCAAGCTACATATATTTGAAAAACAACTGTTTTACTGTGGTCTCCTGCAGATGCAGAAATACACATACAGCATTAAAGCCCTTTACCAATATTTCAAAGTGCTTAGGTTTTCTAGCAAGAGGTACTTTTTATCAAATTTCATCCCTTAGACTAACCCATTTCTTACTGGAAATACTAAACTTACTTCCACTGCCCTGCTTAAATGTGGCTATAGCCACAACCTGCAGAGCCAAATTTCACACACACAAATCATTATCTGGAGCAAGATTTAATTTGCATGAACTGAAACTTCTTGTTTTCTGTTTTAGAGAATCTGGATTGCCCTGATACACAATTTAGAATATTTTAAAAGGACTTACAAGTGCCATAAAATTGCCACCATCCAATTCCTATTTAAATGTTGTCAAATTAAAAAAGTATTGCAGACACTCAAATCAGTAAGATTTGAGTATCACTAACATCCATTACTTACTTAAGGAGGGTCCATGAAGAACTGCACAATTGGGACAGTGGTACAGGTCAATGTCAACAGCATGATGTTCTTCTACTCTGACACAGCTAAAATAGGAAAAAAAATAATCTTTAGAGACTTTAGAGATGTTCCAAGTAAATCAATTTACATCTTCACAGGAGAATTATCAAGGGCTACATTCCAATGTCATGACAAATAAAAGATTTTCAGCAACATCTTGCACTCTTCCCTTGCTCCTTCCCCCCGTGAACAGAACATGCTTGTCTTCCTGGTTTGGGAACCTTTGACTCAAGCTACAACTCACCATGACATCTGACTGCTAGGCAAACTGATTTTGTTTCTTCTCCAGAAAGTAGGATTCTATACCTCTTAATTCTAGCTGAAAATCCAAGTTTGTGGTGAGGAAACAAATTCAAATGGCACAATAAATTTGGGATTTTATTCAAGAACTCCCAAATTTGGAAGCTTTCAACTGCACTCCATCTGCAAGGGGAGGAAACAGGAGTGAGCAAGCATGGCAACAAACTGTGTTTGCCCATGTGCAGCCAGAGTTGCTTATATTTGTACTGGACCAGCACTGAACACAGGCTCAACATTTTAGCAGGTCAATACTAAAGGTTAGTCAATATAGATTTACTATAATTATTCTGAAAATGCCATCTGGACTGCTCTTCCACATTCCCCTTGACAGCTGATTATACCTTCTACTTCTAGATGCACCAGTTTGGTGTAGTGGTTAAGTGTGCAGACTCTAATCTGGGAGAACCGGGTTTGATTCCCCACTCCTCCACTTGCACCTGGCTGGATGGCCTTGGGCAAGCCGTAGCTCTGATAAGAGCTGTTCTTGAAAAAGAGCAGTTTCTGTCAAGAGCTCTCTCAGCCCCGCCTACCTCACAGGGTGTCTGTTGTGGGGAGGGGAAGGGAAAGGAGTTTGTAAGCTGCTCTGAGACACCTTTGGGTAGTGAAGGGCGGGGTATAAATCCAATCTCTTCTTCTTCTCTTTCAATATAACAGTCTGAAGTGGATGCGGTTGCATACCCTGTGCTTCACCAGCAATTCACTGCTCCACAGTATTTCTGCTGATAGGAGGAATCCCAACAAAGTGCTTCAGAACAATATTGGCTGTGGATCTACCACATGAAAAACGCAAGCTGCCTGAGATGTGCAAAAGCTGCATTCACTTTCATTTGCCTTATCATAATCAAAGGTGCAACTGCAAAATTATGATGGAAAATAGGATTGGCTGTGTCTCACTTGTCTGGAATAGGAGGCTACTTTAGTTACTACAGCAGCATGAAAGAAGCAGCATTATGATAGAATCTGGTAAACAGCCATTTTAATGTAATTATTCCAGCATTTTTATCCAACACTTCTCACCAATGGGGACCCAGAGTAGTTTATGAAAAAAAATAATCCAACAGAAAAACAAGAACAAATGCAGTACACTTGTGCTTCCTTCGCACAGATATCAATATGACTCACTTCAACAAACACAACTGCGAGAGCCTGTTACTAAACTGACTGAAGGCCAGTTTAACCATGGGATTATAACTTACTTCAGTTATACCCCTTTTTCCCCAATGGGGACCCAAAGCAGCTTGCATCATTCTCCTCTCCTCCATTTTATTCTCACAACAACCCTGTGAGGTAGGCTAAGAGCATGTGACCAGTCCAAAGTCACCCAGCAAGCTTCCATGGCAGAGTGGAACTTCAACCCTGGGTCTCTAAAATCCTAGTCAACACTATACCACACCAGATCCACCAGCAGATAACCATTTCCAGTCATGCAATCCAAGGTTCTCACAAATGTCTATCATGATATCATGCAAAACACTAGTAAGAAGCAAGTTCTTTTCAATAAAAACTCACTTTTATACAACCAAACCTAGAAGTATTAACCAGAAACTCTTGGGATTTGGTGCACAGACCACAATTCTCCCAAATATTTTCTGGGCAAACAGCATGGCAGAGAACAATTTTGATAAAATGGAGACACCAAGAAGCAAGTCAGAACAGAACCACCACTCATTTTGAGTTTCAAAGTCAAGATTTACAAGTTGGTTATAGATTTTATGGCATATCAGCAGCAAGCCATATTCTATCAAGCACTGTAAAAGTTCCTTTGAAACATGGTTGGAAGTGAAGGGAACAACTCAAGAGCCTACACCAAGATTACTAGCTCATAAAGTATAGAAAGTCACAGTATTGCCAAATCTGCTAGCTTTACAGTGACTAGCAGGCCATTTAGGAATAGCATTCCCTATGCACCCTCTCTGGGGCCCATTATTTACCAAATAAAGTTCATAAATGCAACAAGTAATGTGCATTCTTGAACAGGGCTGACCTAAGGCTTTTTGGCCCTAAGCAAAATATGACATCAGTGCTCTCCACCACTCCACGTTCAATACAGAGAAAAATGAGATCTAGAGGAAACATTCCTTTAAATAGAGAAAATAAATTAACCTCCATGTAATTTGGTGTCCATCAAAGCCTGACATCCCAGGCAATCACCTAGCTCGCCTATATGTTTGGACCAGCCCTGTTCCAATTTATGTTTAAAATGTATATCCTGCTTGTCCCCTGATAAGGACTCAAAGCAGTTTTTTACATAATTCTGTCCCTCCTATATCTTGTGAGGTAGTTCAAGTGAAGAGATTGTGACACACCCAGGGTCATCTGGTGAGCTTGCATGGTGAACTATGGACTGAAACCTAGCTGTCCTAGTCTGAGACTCTAATTACTATGCCACACCAGCTCTCCTGTACTTGAATATCAACGTATCTGTTTTCACACTATGCCAAAGATGGAGCGGCGGGGTGTGTGTGTGTGTTTCTCTAGAAACATGAAGTCCCAGAGTTACAGAAAAATCTGAAATCTTTTTTAAAAAGTATAAAAAGGTAAAGGTTCCCTTGCTCGAAAGCCAGTCGAATCCGACTCTAGGGTTGCGGTGCTCATCTCCGTTTCAAAGCCGAAGAGCCAGCGCTGTCCGAAGACGTTTCCGTGGTCATGTGGCCGGCATGACTAAACACCAAGGCGCACGGAACGCTGTTACCTTCCCACCGATGTGGTCCCTATTTATCTACTTGCAATTTCTTGCTTTCGAACTGCTAGGTTGGCAGGAGCTGGAACTAGAGACAGGAGCTCACCCTGTCTTGCGGCACCCGGGTCTTGAACCACTGAACTACTGACCTTCCACAGCCTGCAGTTCAGCGTCTTAACCACTTGGGTGATTAAAACTCCCCCAAACAACAAATTCATGTAGCATTAAGAAAAGAATGCTCATAGAACTCACAGGGTTGTCCTGATGCTCTGCAGTAGAAGATCTATGGTAGATTTCTGTCCAGCAGCACCTTAGAGACCAACATGATTTTCAGGGTACAAGCTGTCAAGAATCACAGCTCCCTACTCCTTAGCTTCCTCAATTAGGATCTTGTCATTACTACTCTCTTTTCTTTTGGAAGGAAGGTTGGCAAAAATGGTCAGGAAATCCATTGGCAATGTCTACATCCTATTATCAGAGTTTCTCCGATTTAACATGCCAGAAATGAGCAAGAGTTCTTAAATTCAAGACTTCTAAAGCCCGATAAGTTCATGTTCAACTATGTCATATCTTTTATTTAGGGCTGCTAGCCTCCAGGTGGGGCCTGGAGATCTCCCGCTTTTACAATTGATCTCCAGCTGACAGAGATCAGCTCCCCTGGAGAAAATGGCTGCTTTGAAGGGTGAACTCTAATGGCATTGTACCTTGCTGAGGCCCCTCCCCAACCCAAGCCCCACCTTCTTCTGGATCCACCCCAAAGTCTCCAGATATTTTCCAACCCAGACCTGGCAACCCTACTTATATTCTGATAGCGAAGTCGGCCAAATCTTTGGATACTTAAATCCCATGACTGGAGCTGTGAACAGGCAAGGCAGATCTTTCTATGCACCTGAAAAGGGCCCTAGGCTTACAGAAAAATGTGAAATGCTTTAAGCAATGGATTCCCCCAGTGGCAGCTGCTGGGCAACCACAGCATTCCAAAGCTGGGTTTCAGTGAGTAAAAGGCAGGGGGAGGGGGGCAGGGCCATTTCCAGGCCTCTTTTGGCCTTTGAGGGAAGCTCATTGGAGCCAGGCCTAAGGTTGTCAACTCCAGGTTGGGACATTCCTGGAGATTTTGTGATGGACTCTGAGGAGGGCAGGTTTGAGGAGGGAGGGGAGAGACCCCAGCTAGATATACTACCACAGAGTCTATCCTCCAAAGCATCTGTTTTCTCTAGGGGGACAGATCTCTGACATCTGGAGCAGTGTTCCCTCTAAAGCTGAGTTAGTGTAAGCTAGCTCACAGTTTTTTAGCCTCTGGCTCACACACTTTTGTCTTAAATCAGGAAGGATGGCTCCAGAGCAAACTAATTTAAGCAGTAGCCAAATCACCTGCTCACAACTTCAATGCCAGTAGCTCACAAAGTAGAATTTCTGCTCACAGGAATTAGAGGGAGCATTGATCTAGAGTTCAGCTGGAATTCTGGGAGATCTCCAAGGCCCACCTGGAGGCTGGCAATTCTAGGCCATGACAGCAACCTCTGGGTGACTTGGAACCACATGATTTGCATGATTCAACTGGACCTGGCTGCTTGCTGCTGTTAAACAGCAGCCATCCTATGAAAGCTAGTGTGGTGTAGTGGTTAGAGCTTTAGAGTAGACTAGTCAGGAAAGGGAAAGAGGAAATAGTGGGGGGGGCATAAAATGCCTCCTGCAAGTTCTTGCAGGTTCCAACTTGTAAATTACATAAACATGCGCTTCAGTACCAATTTTAGGGCTGCGGCCTAAATAATGTTCATTAGATATTTAACAATGTAACCTACACAATGAAAACTCCTGTGCCTAGTACTCTCCTGTCAAGTCTCCAGATATTTAGTCCACGTCCAACCCTCTTACCATGCCACAGTATCCTAGTCACCTGATCAGGTCTCACCCTTTAACTCTGTTTCAGCATTTCCCTAGCAATAAATTACCTCATTTTGGGAAATGCCATCTTTGGTGTATGGAAAACCTTATTATTTCTGTTCAGTATTAACTTTTCAGACTATGATAGATACATCGTCACAT